AAGAAAGCAAGTCAAATATCCTTCCAGAGATATGCTGGAGACTTCAAATTTTGTTTTAGAAACATGCACACATTGCATTACCAAGTGTTTTTTTCTCAATATATAAAAATTAGAAGTAGCCCTGGGTTCCACAAGAAGCAGGCCATGAGTCTTTTTTTGGATGCAAATGTCAAATGTAGAACTTGACTTAGAGAATGCAAATCTTCTGGAAGGCAGAGATGACTGTCAGAACCTAAGAGCTAAGCAAGCTGCAAGTTATTTATAATCTTTCCCCAGCATCTCCAGTGTGTGCCTTTGCTCAAAGACAGGCAATGTATTTCCATGCCATAAAAATGGACAGAACTGCATTGGTAAATACATGGTGCTCTGAGGTGTTCTTGCAATCTCATTACTTGCCTGGGTGGTTGTATGGACGCAATGGACTCTGTGCTAGCAACTGTTGTACTAAAGGAGCAGAGGAGAAAATAGGGATCAGGAAAAAAACAAAACTAGGAGGAGGAAAGAAGAAAACTGTAGGAGTAATTCAGCTCCTCTGCAGACATAGCAGTTTCAAGAACATTTCTGTAATAACAACCTTTCCAGCACACAACTATCTGTTATGGCAGTGAAACACTACATGGTGTTTTTGCAGCATGGACAGAGTAACGTTGCTGCCAAAGGGCGTGGAAAGGACAATGCTACAGACATGATCCCCAAAATTCTCTTGGAACATATTGTGCTACTCAGAGATTTGCTACTACCAGAGACATTAGAAGTTATGCTATAGGGTGGTATAGTCTTAAAGTTGGATTTTGTTGTGTATGCTAAACTGGATTTGAGATAATACATGTACATTGCAAAATACTATAAAATGGCTTAGCAGAATGTTTTCTAATCTTCCCATGGAGCTTGTCTCTCCAAACTTGGCTTTATAACTCTTGTACACTTTGGGACAATATTCCCAACAACATGACCTGAAGAAAACATTGGTAAACAGGAAGCATTGGTTGTGAAAAGAAACTAAGAGATGGAAGGACATGAAAGTGAGGAAACCCAGCCAAACCTCCAAAAATGGGAACAAAAACACTGAATGTGTCCAAACAAATACTCAGATAATACAGGCTGTTTGGTTTGGTATTTTTATGAAGACAACAATGATAAAGAAGTTGTGTACTACATAGATATTCAGTATCTAAAGGAACATACACTTGTAAAGGATATATTCCAGGCAAAACATGTGTCACAGTCCAATGTTTAAGGAGATGTGGAATAATTCAGAGACATTTACCAAGTATAGCAACAAGTAAACACAGTCATTTGACTTAACTGCTGGGAAACAGCTCTCCAGTTCTAATTATTCTGATACCCTCACAGTAAGGCATACCCTCCTTATTTTCCTCCAGGAGACAGTGCCACAGAAAAACCCAATCTGGGACTTAACCTGGGATGCAAAACATCGAATTTCTGTTTTCCAACTCTGCTACAGCCATCATACAGCACCTTGAGGAAATCATCCTGCCTCCATTCCCATCTCTAACAATGGGAAAATAATTTCTTTCACCATTCTTTATTAGTTCATTAATTCAATGAGGCAGCAGATATGCCCTATGGCTTAAATGCCACATGCTTAATGCTGTAGGCTTTTTTTAGGACTTCGCTTAGACACTCATCAGTACTCAGCAGCAGCAACACTACATTGTTTCACAACAAGAGAAATGTAAATTTGACCAAGGTAGGTGCCATGCTTTTTCATTGCTCAGGAAAAATAACTACTGTTACTAAATAAAAAAAAAAAAAAATAATGGAGATATTATTGCTAAAAAAAGCTTTTCAGCTGTTAAGTCAGCAGTAAATGTGATCTTTCTTAAGATCACTGCCTTCACCTGATCACGGGGTAGTGGTAACTATATTTTAGACCATTCTATCACTTTCCATAAACATTTTAACATTTTGGGTTATTACACCCTGCCGTTTTCCTGCATGTACATAATCCTGAACCCTGAGAAATGAGGCTTTTAAAACTCATTTAACAAGTTTCCTATTAACAGTGTTATGCTGTGAGAATGTTCCTCAGTACAGCCATATGTCTCAATTATATTAATCTATTTCTCAGATTTAAAAACAATTAAAGCAATCATAAGGCACATGCAGCCTTTTTTGAGAAAGTATATTTGAAAAGCAAATGCTTCTCCCCACCCCTGCATAGCTCCACTTGACAGACAGAAAGAATTCATCAGTAAGAGGGAAAATGCCACTTGTCACATAGGACTTAGGCCAGTTTCCAAGTGTTTCAAATAGAAGAAAAGAAACTCTACAAAAAGAAGTATGGCAGGTCTACACTGCTACATAAGTTTTTAATTAAGAAACTTAAAGAGAACCAAATCTAATTTTAAAAATATGACTCTATCATTGTAATCCATAGGAACTTCCAGTCTGTTACTGGTACATTTTCTTAGCCATATGCCTGGCAATTAACTGGATAATCTAGCTCTGCCTCAATAGAAGTATTTCCTTCTGTGAGATTTCTTCCCCTCTCACCAATTTCACTGGATGTTCACCTTTGAACTTTTACTAAACTCATAGGAATCAGAACTCATGGCTTGCATTCCTTACTTCATCACTATATACAGTTTCTGTCCCTACATATCTCTGTGTACTTTCTGATAGAAGCAGCTGTAGTCTGAGCATTTCAGTCTCATTTGATTTTTCAGTGGTTATAAGGTAACTTTCTTCAGAGAAAAACTGCATCAGCTGCACTAACACATTGCATCAGTCAGTGTCCTGAAGTGTCACTGTGGGACACGTGAAAGCACAACGCGGACCACCTGCTGCTTGCAAGGTAAAAAAAGGAACATTTATTATTTGACTCTGTCTTTTATACCTTCCCAAGGGTGACATTGGATTGGAGAGTGAATGGGCCACCTCTCCAAAGACATTGGACAAACCACCAGTACATCAAGTGTTCTCTACCCCCATAAAAGAATGTAAACAATACGTTGTTTACAGAAATTGTGTGGGAAAGTTCTCCAAAGGAATGTAAACTCAGAAGGCTTTAGGAAGTCTTAAGAATCAGGGTGACACTGAAGAACAACATGAAATGTAATTCATCTTGCTCCCTTGGATACTGTTTTCATTGTCATATGCAATGGCATGCTGAATGGGATAGTGTTCAACTGGAAGTTTCATTAAGCAGCTCTCAGACACCCTTAAAGTGTTCTAATAGGTGTGACTTATTGACCGGAAGAGTCAGTAAACAAATGAAGTATAAGTGACAGTACAAGACCAGAGTAACAGTAATTAGCGATGTGACTCCATGAGTAATAGGAAAATTGTCCTGACCCAGTTGATGGCAATAGCAACGAAATCTTTAAAAAATTGTTAAAAAAAATCCCAATAGATGGATTTTCTACCAACACTTATAAGGGTCACGAGCATCCTTTCTGGTTGCCACACAGCCTACTTCACTCGTGTTCCACTCCAGCTAAGCTGGGACACGCAGTGGCAGCTGCGCTCCCCATGCTGGCCAGAGCCAGGCGCAGGGCTGGAAGGAGAAGGACGGGCTGGCAGCACTGTCCCAGCACAGCGCTCCTGCGGCTGCTCGAACAGATCTGCAGCAGCGCGGCTTCACAGGAAGCCTCCAGCAACCTTCCCCTCCCCGCAGAACTCCAGCACTCCGCTGGGAACCCTGCTTATTTGTGCTGTGTGGAGTTCGCCCAGGCACCCTCTGCCTTGCAAAGTGCCATGCACGGTCCTGGCTGAGCTGCCACACCTTGCCTGGCGTTCTGCACAGGGTTGCACAAAGACAGCTGTATACCAGGTGTACAATGGCAAATCAATATCCTGCCTCCAATCAACATTTATCCCATGCTACCCTCACTTCAGTGCCAACACAAACACTTCAGAGAGCTTGGATTAATGAGAGCATAACAAAAACAAATCTGATGTGTCTGTGCATGCTTTTCGTCTCTTGGAATCACATCACATATGACTTTATACCTCTCCTGAATAAGATGAATGTTATAACACAGAAATCAGAGCATTTTAATGCAAATATATAATTACTCTTCAGTATGTGCATGAAAAAACAATTTTATTTCTTTGATGAAATACCATTCACAAAAACCCCCCACCAAACTACCAGCTGCTTTCCAATTGTAAGATGACATGACAAATAAAAAATCATTTGTAAGTTCCATAAATAAAATTAATTTTATTTCTCTTTCCATATCCTAGCAGTGTAGGCCTCAATGGGATCTTATGTGGGTAATATCCTGGAATATAATAATGCCAAAAAGAAGGAAAATTATGAACACCACAAGACAAAACACATGGGCACAAAATCAATACTCTAAATTTCAGGGCTCCTGATTGTTTGAAAACTGACAGGAAATGCACTGGTTTCAGTGCAATAATAAAAGGTCTGAAGACATACTTGGAAAGTATGAACACAGAAAAAATCACATGAAAGAAGTGTTGAGAGAAGCAATGAAACTGGTTGTAATAAGATGCCTAGTTGTATGTTTTACAAAATAATACAAAAGTTGGAAAGGGAATGGAAAAATATGCAAATATATAATATACCAAAAAATACTCACTTTGAGAGTTTATTTTGTTTGAGGTACAATTACAGAGGTTTTTATCAAGCTACAAATATCCGTAACTGGTTTAGGAGTTGGTTATCCTTTAGTCATCCAAGGAAAGGAGCAATCAGTAGATGAAATCTGGCTGATGCAGACTCCAGATAGAGCACGTCTTCAGCACTGGTTATAATTAACCACTAGACTAACTTACAACACAGTTCCTGCTTTCCTCTGCAGATCTAGATTAAATTACCTAGGAACTGCTGTAATTCAGAAAGAAAATACAGCTGCCAGAGCAGGAAGGTGTGGGGGAGCGGAGAGGCGGCCCCCATCACAGACCTGCGGGGTGTGACCCTGTGCCTGCAGCGCGCTCCGCTGCCCGACTGACAGGTCCCAGCTGTCGCCGGCTCTTCCAGCGGCAGCTCCTCCCTTCTGGCCAGATGGACAGCACAGCCTGGACCCGGGCTCCGGGGGACCCGGCTCGGGGCAGAAAGCAGCCTTTTATAGCCGGCACGCCGGGCTGCGGCTCACACCTACACACTCCGCTGCCGAGCACAGCGCCGCTGCCGGGACCCACGGCCCCGCCCGCCGCTGCCCATGGCGCCGCTGCCCCCGCTGCTGCTGCTGCTGCTGCTGCCGGCGGCCGGTGAGTAGAGCGGGGCCCCGGGCCGGGCCGGCACCCGCGCGGTCCTTCCCGGCAGGCGCCTCCGCGGGCTCTGCTGGGCGCGCTCCCTTGCCCCGACGCGGCCGGACGGGGCTTGGCAGGTGGGAAGAGGGGTAGAGAAAGGAGTGTCAGGAGAAACCCTCACGGGAGGTGCCTGTGCTCCCACGCCGGAGAGCAGTCCCCGTTACAGGTGGCCAGCGCTCGGACACAGCTGGGTGGGACTCGCCCACGGGAACCCCGATTTGCCGCTGCTGGAGCTGCCCTGACAGCCCGGCCGGTGCTCAGACCGCACCTGCACACGGCAGCGGCGCTGGAGTGGCGCACATTACTTCTGTAAAGTTCATCCGTAATGTTCAGCTCCGCTAACAAAATTCCGTGTTTCAAATGAACAGCAGCTTGCACGTGAAATAACAATCTTTCTATCAAGCCAGTAGCTTTACCCCCGCTCTTCTCTGGGTATTGGAGTGAGCTGTCACGGAGCACTTGAGTTACTAAGCAGTTCAGAAGCAGGAATTGCTAGGACTGAGATCGCCTACAAAACCCTAACTGGGCTATTCTAAAAAATGAATCAGTCTTCATGAATGAGTTATGATGTGAGAATGTAATTAAAGGACCCCTGCCTCACACCTTCACACAGCCAATTAGTCACTTCACAAATATTTAATTATTTTTTTGTCTCCTACATCCTATTTATTAATCAGTGTTAAAGACTGGTTGTAACAATTCACAGTCTATTTCCTCATAGGTTTTCTGAGGTATTCATCAGTACAGTATCTGATTATACTAATTTCTCTGAAAGTGTATCATCCCTCTTTTTCAGATAGGTATGTGGGCTGACACAAAAAAGCATCCTCTAATTTTAGGTTCCCATGGTGACATGGTAGGACCCAATTTAACTTACAACTACATAAAATTATGTGGAACTCCAACTACTCAAAACCTGGTTCTTACTGAGTGCTATGGTAGCTTGGTACTCCAACCCCAGGATATTCAGCAGGTTGGGGCCTACTATTTGTAAACATCAATAGGTATTGTTTTAAAGTGATTAAATTAACCTCATGCTGAACCTTTGTGACAGATGTAAGGATAAAATCCTATCTTCCAGAATACCAATCATCTGCCTTAAGTAAAAGATTGTCTTGCAGGTTTTTTAATGCATTCCTACACAGTTTGTAAATTCACCACACCAAATCTTGCAAATAGCAGGATCCTAAAGAAAAGAGCCTCAGTTAATTCCTAGAACAGATTCTGGGCACAGAATGGAGCAGGGTCTGGGGAAAGGAAGTCCTGTGATTTAAAGCCCATAAGGTAAGGTGCTTGCATAATGAGGCCAACTTAGGGCCCACCAAGCTCCCTGCCCCAATTCTTCTTCCTGACCTCAGATTCCTTCTGCATTTTTATCATCCTTCAGACCTCACCCTTTGCATGGGACAAACCTCAGAAGAACATTAAGGAAAGCAATGAAATCACTGTTTCTGCCAGCTTGGAGTGCTCATTACAGAGAGCCTGGCTGTGCTCAGATAGCTCTGAGTCAGGCACCTCAGTCACCCACTCCGTGGGCAGTGAGGAGCACGGGAAATGCAATTCACCTCTTTCCCAACTGGTCCAAAGTATCAAAACAGGCAAATTTAACTTTTCAAAAAATTTACATGTGACCAGAGTTTGTGGAGATAGCATGTAAGTTGTCTGGGCAATAAAATGAGGTGAAAAAGGCCATTCCTGATGGCTTAGGAAACAAGAGGTAAAAAATATCTAAGCAAAAAGTAAGGTTTCTATAAGGCATACAGTTATTTTTTGCAAGATCTTGGAAATGCATCAGAAAGTCTCTTATTCCCAAGTTTCAAGTTCTGAACTACTGGAGCACTATGACTACATACAGATATCCCATTTCCGTACCCTCAGTCTTTAAAAGAATGGCTTAAAAACTCTTTTTAAACCCACAAAACAGCATATGCTATGATTATCATCAACATATTGATACTCTGATTGTTTCCATAGCTCTGTGCATTCTCAGATGATATTTTATTGCTTTTGTTAACTCATAAAGCTGCTGTGACAGAGTATCATATTCAGAGTATCTATGCCATGCTGGTTTACAACTGAATATACAGATGCTGTAACACAAATATATTACAAGGACAAAAAGTTTATGTCCTTTTCTTTAAGACACATAGCATATTATACTTGAGCTCCTCAGATCAGAGAGTTCATCAGAAAGTTCATCACTTCTACTTGTCATGGATTTAAATCAAGGGACTGGGAATTGTCCCAGGTTAGCAAACAATTCTCTGATGAAACAAGGAATATGATTTGGAAATTCTTATTTTCTTCTTCATGACTTGTATCTCTCCTATACCATCCTTCCCCAGTTACCAGGAACTGAGACACAATGAATAAATTCTTCACTTTTTCAGAATCCCCAAGGTCATGCAGAGCAAACACAGCTCTGCCATTAACCATGGTTCCTCCAGATATTACTGGCTGTCTACAAGAGTAGCCATTACTGACCTTGAAGAGCATAACCAGCTGTCACTTGTAATGCTGCAGCCTTATTGCAGGGTTTTAGCTCAGAATTTACTGAACTTGTACTCTCAGTGCTATCATAACACCAATCTGTTTATAACCAAATGGATGCTTCTGCTAGCCAGAACCAAAATTTCACACTGAACGTACAGGAGATGTTCTGGAACAGGAGCCATGCACAACAGATATTGTTCACTGCCTTAGCAAGGAAGTTTAGTGCCAACTCAGCAGTTTTGCAATGAAACTGCAATTGATTACATGGCAAGGAAGTTTTTCTTAATTCCTCAGGATATGATTGCTTTTAATCAATGGCCAAAGCTGCATGTGCAAGTTTAAACACCCTTGTTTCAACACTTCTGCCTCTAGATCACATGCCCAAAAAGCTAAAGAGACAAGATCTGGGAGTGGTCACCAGTCAGGAAAGTGATGCTGCCTCATGGTTCTTCCTGAGTTTTTTTTTTACCATTCTCACACACAAACCAATAGAATTTCTTACTGAGGTGATTTCATGAGGTGTTTAAATCCCACTGTTTCATGACATTACAAGTGCCAGAGTTCACCAGCATCCCACACATTTCAAGTTACTCAACTGTGCTGGGACAGGTATTTTTTCTGTCAGATTTTCCATTAACTGATTATAGTGAATCATATAATCTATTATGATATAATCTATTACAAAAGATTACTCTATTATGCTATTATAATAGATTATGTACTTATGCAGATTATATAAAAACTGCATAATAATATAGTTATTTTGTAGGAAAGTAACCATCAAAGCCTTCAACAATGAAGTCTATTTTTTTTTCTGCTGTCTCCATCACAGGTATTATGAGTTATTAAATCTTAATGCCTTTTGGAATCTGTAACCAGTACTGGAGTTTAGGTTTATAAACTGTTCTCCTCATACCAAAATAAGTAATTAGTTTAATTAATAAGAAACTCTAATCAGAAGCCTTCTAAAATGAATTTGTTTTGAGTCATTCAGCTTCTCAAAATTTGCTGTGAATAGCTTGGAGCCTGCACTGCAAGGAGAGGCTGCCCATTACCATCAGGGTCTCCAGTGTGTTAGTTCACTCTCTCAGCATGACATGAACCCCTAAAAATATCGCCCAGAGTCTCAACAGTTTTCTGCTGCTTGAAACCTCTTGCTTTAGTACTGATATAGGATTGTTAAAATATAGTTCCTAAAGTAAATTTTGTTCTGGAGAAATAATAGTGATAATCACTTCAAAACAATAACCCCAAACAAAAGTAAACAGGAAAATAACCAAACCCCACTTTTCTAATTTCCCTGGAAAAAACTCCAAGCACCCATCTGTTTCTCTGCCTTACATCCACCACACCATCCCCACTAATTATTTGGCTGCTTTGTCTAAAAATGAGGAAAACCAAAACCCTATCATAAAGGACCTTTTTCTTCCAATGTAAAGCACTACATTCTACAAAATAATATGGGCAAAATTGCACGTTATGTTAAAGAGAAAGCACTGCAACCCCGAGGCAGCTAATCTTAGCAACTGGGTGGGCCTGGGCCCCAGAACACACACTGGCCCTCACCAGCTGGAAGACTGGAAATGACTGGTGTGCCATTGTACACTGCCTCCACAGGAAACCACTGCAGCTGTTCTCAGGGTTCAGTATTCTGCTCACTATGGACTGAGGACAGAGGGACTGGGTCAAGCAGCGTGGCCCCAAAGTGTCAAAAATAAACCTGGATTAATTTCAAGTCCAGTCATTTATCAATGCTTTAAAAAACCCAAACAATCCCAACTATTTTATATTCACATGTTGGATTCAATAATAGTTTTTTGTCCACAGTTTATAAAGGCACTTTTGGGGAAGCCCGTTTGAGAAATCGAAGAGGAATTCTGGAACTGGCCGGAGCCATCAGATGCACCACAGGGCGCTCTCCCTTTGCCTACCTGCGCTATGGATGCTACTGTGGCCTGGGAGGAAAAGGATGGCCCAAGGACAGAGTAGACTGGTGAGAGTAACTACTTATCTGAATAATTAAGTGCTGAATGCACATGACAAATAAAAGGACTAAAATAGAAATTAGGCCTATTTGAGAGAGGGAAGCGAGTTTAAACACAGCTCAGATTGCTAAGAAACTCTGAGGCATTCAAATTGTGTTGCTGTAGATCTACAAAATCTTGCCTTTAATTCAAATTCTCATTGCATTAGTACAGTATTCACAGTACAACTGAGTTCCTTTGCTGTTGCATTTCAGCAAAGAGCTAAATAACTAGTCTTGTTGGAGAAGCTTTAAAGGTCATTGAAACTATCTAAAGTAAAAATTAAAAAACAAAGGCAACAGAAATATTTTGATTTTACTTTCTTCCTTGTTATTAGTATTCAAAATAATACATAAGAATTATGCAATATTCAACCTGCTGAAAAATAAATCTAAAACCCAAACCTTTCCATTTAGTACTAAATCACAGCATACTGATGATCATCAGTCAATGCAACTTATAATTGAACATTAACTGACAAGATGATTTTGGGTTGTTGCATGGTTTGTTTTTTTTAATTTCTATGCATGAATTGGAGTTACTGAGCTATGTTGGTCAACTGTTATGTACCACAGAATCTTTACATAATGATTTGTAGGAAATGACCAAGTAATTACTTAATAAGCACAGGAAAAACAGTAATTGAAAAGTGAAAGCTCACAGCATTAACTTTTCCTATTGCAGACCTAAGTCCCTCAGGCAACCTGAACACCATCTACCTACTGTAATCTGATGGTTTTAGTCTGCCAGGAGCAAACTGAATGAATGAATAAAGGAACGAATAAATGAATACTTTGTGGATACACCCAGTTCTTCCAACAGGTCAAAAAGAAAGGATGTACTTGGTTTGCAGCAAGAACTTACAAGCTACCCAATTTCAGGTCCTTGTTACCTCCTCTACTTGCTTGTGCTGGGCTTGCAATGATTCCACACCAGAGACACTACACCAGCATATTTTAATGCCTTTTTTAAGCATTAAAATGTCATTAATTCTTACCTGTACAGTTCAGTTTCACAATGTCATAGAAAACCTAAAAATTCTTTGTGCCAATTATGACAATAACAATTTTGAAACAGTACTTTTGAGCAACTTTAAATTTTCTGATGATAATGAGCTAACAGTTCATTTTGTGGAAGGGGCTAGGAGAAAAGCATACTCACATATAACTGAGAATGCTCTGAAGATTTAATTAGCTCAATTAGACATTTTTTTCATCACTTATTACATGAAAAAGTAGTCTTTTTTTCCAGGTGATCTATTAAACAATTACCCTGGTTTGGTTCCTGAGCAGTTAATGCTTGTACACTCACTGATGTTGACTGTTTTATTATTCCACAGCTGTAGTAATCCACTGATAAACCCCACCCCACTGTGTGACCATAAATCACCATCTGTTTCTGTTCCTCTCAGGTGCTGCTTCCACCACGACTGCTGCTATGGGAGGGCAGAACAAGCAGGTTGCCAGCCAAAGACTGAAAGTTACCACTGGGAATGCAAAGACAATTCTGCTGTGTGTGGTGAGTGAGCACTTGGGAGCTTTTTGGTGTTGGGTTATTTGTTTGGTTGTTTCTTAATTCTACTAATTATCTCATTAGAAAGGTATTTTCTTAATTAACTGTAAAATTATTATTTTACCATCTTCCTTTAGTGACTTTTTTTGCCAGGATACACTGTGCCTTCAGAAAGCACAGCTAAACCAATCAACTGCAGTTGATGTAGTTTCCACTTCTTAATCCTCCCTCTGACTGTTATAAGCAAACAAAACTGTGAGCTAGAAGCATCTATTACCTTTTCAGAAAACACAACCACAATCATCCTTTTACTCAGCATTTACATATGCTGAGGAACCCAAGTTATGTTACTCCCTGCAAGTCTCCAGCTGGAGAGCAAGTACCAACAGGAGACAAGAAAATGGTAACAGTTTAAAAAGAGCTTTTCCCTACTTAGCAGAAAATATTTCCCACTATTTGAAAGTTTACAATGGGCATGTTTTTGGCATATTTATCCCTGATCAGTTGCACTGATGGCTGCAATTTATTAATGAATTCATAATTACAGGTTACAGTTTCAAACAATGAGGTAATAAAATATTTTATGAGTATGTTTATTTCTGGAAGTTAAATTAACAAATCTTTATTTGAAAATTTTTACATAACACAAATGTACAAACTGCAACAGACTGCTGACCACATCCAGATAAATTTTGTTTGATTGTTCCAAAATACACTTGCCATGCTGAAGTAAGGGAAGGACAAAGAAATCACAAAGAAAAAACCCAAAAAATGGTTAACAGGAAAAAGCAGATTTCTTTTGCATTATTTGTTCACAACTCCCAGAATTTTAGCAAATGCTTTCCAATACACTCGAAAACTCATTGAAACAATAGCTTCTCAAAAGCCCCCAGTATTTACAGGGTTTTTTCTTGTTGATGTCACGGTTTTATGTTGGTTTTTGTTTTTTTTTTTTGTTTGTGTGCTGTTTGGGATTTTGTTTGCTTGTTTTGTTTTTAAAAATCAGATGCTCAGTTAATTTGCATATAATTTTATGCTTCTACCTAGAATGCAAATGAGCTTAAAAATTGGTTATTATTTGTACTACAGAAATGCAAAAACTGTTACATAAACTTGTTTAAATGAAGTCTGAGTTTCTGACTACTATGGTTTAAAATAAACAGTTGGCCATTTACAGAGGACACAAAACCCTCTCATTTTATACTCAATTTAGAATTTGCCTGACCTGAAAACAAATGGAAGTTTGGACATTGCTTCCCTTCTTCATATTCAATCTTTACTTTGCCGAAGTGTCTACCTTGTTCAGAATCTCTACTTGCTCACTTCTTCCCCTGCCCCAGATGGTCAAAACATCTTCTCTCTCACACTGATTAATCACGTTACAGTCCACCCTTACTTGGCTGTAAAGATTTTGCTCCTGACAATATTCAAAATACTGGCCAAGATAGCAAGCATGGTGTCAGGAAACCAAGTCCCTGGCGTAGCACAGATAAGATAAACTCTGGAGCAATACCAGAAGAAGAACAGAAGAAGGAATAGTTCTCAGTTACTGTGTTTTGATTTTTTATCCTATCATGTTGTTCATGCTACCTGTGCTATTGAGTAGCTCTTAGGGCAGCTAGTTGCAGCATAAACACATACACATTAAGAACACTTCAATTTCATGGCAGAATTTGAGTTCATTCACAAAACTGAACACTTGTTCTGCTCCTGGACAAATCTCAAGCAGTGATTTGGCTAAGCTTTTAAAATGGTAAACACTCAGACAAAATGTAATTAAGGATTCTTCAGTTTACAGACAGTTACAGAGAAGAAAAAACCACACACTTCCAGGCTGGCACACTGAACCCAAAATACAGTGCTGTAGAAGAAAATGTTCATGCCAAGAAGGAACACTCATGCCAGGAAATCTGTTAAATTACAACACTATAATTATAAAACAAACAGGACAAGACATGGATTTTATCACACACTTTAACTTCTTACTGAATGCCTTAAACAAAAAAGGTGGGCAATTTAGGCTGGACATGGAACACCTTTGCATGCCATGTGTATATCCCATATATTATTTTTAATGCTATATCCTATAGTAGATTATAAAGGGTATGGAATGGACTATCTTCCCAAAGTGAAGTTTCACTAGAGCAAGAGGGAAGGCAGGGAGGATCTCATACCACTTTCTAAAGAGAGATCAGTTATCAGAGTTCCTTTATTAAAAAACTAGAAGGGTATTGAAGTCTTTATCTGGCTGGCTATTCCACAGGTTCTTAGTCTTACCAAAGCTCAGCACAGTTCTTATTGCACTTGAAATGTAAGGCATTTGTACTGCAAATAGGGAACATGAGGGAGCAATTCTTGGTATTCCATTTGGGATTTTTAATTTCTTCAAACTAATATCAAATTTACTGTGTTTTTTTTCAGACTCGCTAGAAGATAAATGTCAAAAAATGGCATGTGAATGTGACCGTGAAGCTGCCAAATGTTTTTCTAAAGCTCCCTACCACAGAAAATACCTTTTGTGGCCAGACTTTATGTGTGGTGAGATTCAGCCTTTGTGTAGGTATTAGATACGTAACTCTTATATATATATTTAAATCTAAAATTACTTTTTTTTTTTGGCCACAGTAACGGCAAGAAATTATTTTCCCCTTTCTTGATACTCTTTCATTCCACCTCAGCCTCTCCACCTCAAAATATAAATGTAAAAAAGTATACATTTTTCCTGTTCTTTACTTTCTCCCATGCATTTATTATTGACTAAATAGAAATTTGAGTTTATTATCTTAAGGAGTAACTGACAATGTTAATTTTTGTTTATATTCAGATTCACAGATTATTCAGATTGATAATATTATTCACTGTGAATTTTTTATCCCCCCTTCAAATCAAACTTCTCGACTAACAGACCTTAGCATTTGTTAACTTTGAACTGACTGGAAAAAGTTCATGAAGTGACAGTGTCAGCACAAAGAGCCCTCTCATCTACATTAAACACTTACTACAAAGCCTAATTTAAGTGTTGAATTTCATTCACCTGGAGCAATGCTACCTGCATTGAAGAATTATATAATAGGTTTTTTCTAGCATTTACTTTTCAAGAGAAGTTTTCTAAACAGCTGTTTATTTGATATGGCTCAAACTCCTTACTCTATGTACACCCTGAATTTCCTGTAGGCACAGGGAGGAAATTCTACCCTTAGAACTTTAGAGCCAGATTTAAAAATGCAAATGCAAACCATCACCAAAACAGAAATATGAAAAAATGTAGAAGTTGTTGGTACCAACTGGCTTTCTCACAAGTGTTTGGTCCTGCACAGCAAGAGTTTATGAAGCTCAGAAGTATATAAACCTCATCAGGATGTAAAGCTGGTTTTAGCTAGGATCACTTCACAGATATTTTTAACTCTTTGAGAAGAGAAATCAGTACCCTGAACTGATGAATAATACACTTTTTTCTACCTGCAGATTTTAACAGTTATAGAGCCAGGAGTGTTTTATGTCTACTTTCACCCACGTCAACTTACTCAAAAGATGCAGGGCTGAAGAGCAGATTTGCACAAGTCAAAGCTAATGACATGTACTTCAATATTTAAAAAAAAAATCAAAACCCAAATTACCTATAGGAATAGTGAAGATTTCAGGAGACATCTTTAATCATGAAAAATATTCAGGCAAATTTAGTTCACATTACTGACACAAATGAAATCAAGAAAACAACAAACCAATGCAGACTGCAAGGGGACAAAGTTCTTGAAAAAATCTTACCTTTTCAGTAAGAATCATACAATTCAGTCAAAGGAACATACATTAACAAATGTCAATATTCCAGTCAATATTTGCTCAGACACAGATACATATATTATATTGCCATAAGTAATTACAGTGTCAGGTCACTTTTCCAAAATAATCCTCTTTAAAAGATATTTAAAAATTTACAAATTAGCAAAAGAATTCAAGAAGAGAGAATGAAAGGAGCTATTGATGAAGTCTAACTGAGCTGAATAAAAAATTTCCATGGTAATTATCACATTTAACAAGACACAAGAAAATTCAAGTAGTCTTTACTTTCAACTGCACGAATTTTGGAACAAATTCTACTGTGAGACTGTGTATATGGCAGTCACAATGCTACATGTAAAGAAGACTGAAATAAATGAAGTTCTTTCAACATCAAGCCTATCCAGGAAGGGCATTCCTTTGGCAACTGAAGTTGAGGAAGACACAGATGGTATGAAATGTTAAGTTTAAAAAGAAAAAGAAAGAAATCACTGTAGCAGTGCAGAAGACACTGACTTTAAGGCAGGCTTGAAAATACACAGAATGCTCAAGACAGCATAAAGAAACTTTTCTGGTACAGATTGGGTGAGATGACTGTATGAGTTTTACATGGCTATAGAGGAATGTGCTTTTTTTTTCCCAACAGAAAATTCCTTTTTCCTTCATCCTCCAATTTGGAATCAGCTGGTTTAAGGATAACTTACCTTAAAGCTTTTTCATATGTTTAAATTAACATAATCCACCATTTTCACTGCCACATACATAAAGAAGAAAAGCAAAGTTTATCCAAAATGTCCATTTTTAGAAGCTAAACAGTTCAATGCCTATCACTGCACTTGTGTCTCCAGACGCCTTATCTCCGTAACTACAAGATCAATGTTTATAACTGGGTTAAAATACAAGGCCCAGTAAAACAAACAATTGCAGACAAACTGAGGAATAAAAGGCCAAAAAATGGCAACAAAAAGTCCCTGGGTTGAGACTTTCCAGAAATGTCTCCACATTCTCTGAGGAATAGTCCTGTGAAAAAGGAAATGAAAAGGCTTAGAGGAACTTTATGGTTTGTTTTTACCCAGCTCTAAGAAAACCTAATAGGTACTACAGCTTTGAATTACTTAGCCCTTACTCAGGTACCTGTAAAAAACACCATTTTGCTCTCCAGGAAAAACTTTCCTAAACCCAGTAGTAGCAGATTTAAAGAAGCACTCTTTAGTGCACCCAGACCCCGAAGCCCAGCAGGTTCCAGTGTTACATCACAGCTCTGCCTCAGGCTGTCCCATGCTCCCTGTGCTGATGTGGGCTCATTCTGCCTTCTACCGGCTGGCAAAGGGAAAACCCAGTATACACCAAAACAAGAATTTCTCCCATACCATTTCCAAAGATCACACCAACTATCAATGTTAATGGGCTTGAATTAAGACTGAGGTAGGAACAGAAAACAGAAATTCTGATAAATTATCAGAACTAGTATCAGTATAACTGAGCTTATTTATGATTCTGAGGACTCATCCCATAATAACTATACTGTATCATGACTAAATTCTGATGTATTTGTTCTCAGCTGATAGCTAATACCAGGCACCGTAAGAGACAGTTATCAAGGTAAGGTTTGGTATCTCCCAGTGGTTAAGAACATGCTTGTCGCTGTTTCCACATTTGCAACATCTGATAAGTAAAACCACCTCTAAGAAACCAGTAGAAGCATGCACAGAAGGTATTTAAAAGCAAGCATGTGAGAATGCAGATTCATATGTTATTATTAACCTCAGAGTTTGGGTTAGACACTCATTTCAATGAGCAACCGTAAAATTGTAAGGCTGTTACTTTCTGTTTAAAATGCTCTGTACTTCCTACCCTCTTCCACAAGCTTAAGACTTACTTCAATTCTCTTCTTGACCACAGCCTCCAAAAGGAGAATAATTCCAGAACAGAGAGCAACATGGCATTTACAATTATAAATCTTGATGTCCAGTAATGTACATCTAGCCAATCCCAAGCAAATTCAGCTATCAACTGGTATGGCAAAAATAAATACTTTACAGTGAATTCTCTCCATTGCCTCCAAGAAGGATCTTTAAGGTCCTGTAAATTAGGATAAAGAGACTGTTAATCAATTTTGTATTAAACTTACTTAATACTGGCTTATTTCCACTAGTCTTTCGTTGAAAAGTTGGGGCTTTTATACACTGAAAGCAGTAATTTATCTTTATTATACTTGCTAGTAGGTAATACTGTAATGCAGTAATTTATATTAAGATTAGAACATCACTTTCTGTAGTCATGTGAACTTCAGAAGAATCACTTTCACACATTTAAAGTCTTAAAAGCCTAAAATCAATCTTATTAAAGGTAATGGCTGCAATACTAGTGATTGCATACTATAAAATCGAAGAGCCACTTACTCTGTAGGTCTGTTGTTTTTAAAGTCAGAGTGTAAAGAGATGAAATTATGAATTATTACATTATGTGTTTTTATCCTGCTAGTCTTAAAATGCTTATAGCCAAAGCAAGTAGCATATTTAATGTTTTGAATACGTACAAGCAGTTTTGTGACAGTATCTTCATACTTGTCTTCTTGCATAGGACAAATTGTGTGGATGAAAGGTAGGAAAGCTTCTGCATAATCAAACAAATATAGGTATAACATACTGAGTCTTGGAGAACTCTTCAATGCATACAGAAGAAAGAGTGATTTTCCTGGGTTTACGGCCTAAAAGGTATCAAATTATTAAGTCTCAATCAGTAAAAAAGTAAAATGAAAGGGACATGCCAGTTCTTAGATTTTCTGACAATCATTTTTCAAAGGGTTGTTTTTCAAATACAACACGTCATTACACTGAGCAATTTTTACACAGGTAATTCCACTACTTTAACACCCCTCCTGGTTTTAAGAGAATCTTATTTTAAATGTATTACTTTAAAAAGAATTAATATACATGACGTGACACACTTAATATAAAATTTACCTTATATTCCCAAAGATTCTGTGGTGGTTTAACACCTAAAGTTTTCACACATTCCAGTTCTGCCATAATAGCTCTCCTATGGTTACTGTTCTCTACACTGTAGGGTTCTTTGGTGAAATCCTCTTCAGTCAGTGTTAGGAGCAGTCTACAAAAACAGAAGAATTAAGAAGGTAAACAGTGCCTATTCACCAAAAAAGATCACTAACAAATACACAACGGCATACTGAAACAAGGTAGCATCTTTTGGGTTAAAGAATCAGAGAACACTTTGGGCTGGCAAACTTTGGGACTTGAAAAGATCATCATTACATTACAATCAAGTGTTCTACACCAACTGCATCTCAAAGCCTGGGTTTTAAATTTCCTTCTTTTCCAGTTTCCTCTTGCCTGCTTTCAGCATGGCTCTTGGATGGAATACATATGCATATAGCACATGCTTATTTCCACAAGAAAGGAAAGGTGCAAGGGGTGGATAATACATCAGTAGAATTCTACTCTTGATATAATTTCAGTCTGCATTGTCAGCATTTTAAGAAGTCCTTAGAATATGTTCAGGTAGCTTGCTAAGTATCTACTACCAAAAGTTTTCAACAGCAATTGTAAAAACTTCTGAAATTTACTCTGATACATCAACAGACTATTCCCACAATCCATGTAACACAGTATGGTCATTTCACAATAAGCCACCCCTAATGACTGTCAGTAGTCCAATCACATAACAGTTGTCCTTGACCATCAGGCCTCTCACCTTCCATTTACTTTCTCCAATAAAAATCTTTCTTTGTAATGGGAAGCCCACGGGCCCAGCTGCTCCAGCCAGAGTATCACTTCCTCAGCAGTCCACTTGGCGACAGGCTTGTGGACAAGAAGATCATCTTCAAATTCTCTGCTGCTCCAGTGATAGCCAAGTAGAACTACCTACAGGTAGATTATAAGGATACTTTACTTGCAAAGCAAATACATGAATGATATAAATAAACACACAGTAAGAGGCTTGACACAGAGTCTTTCATTTCATGGAAGTCTAGAACATTCAGGTTTTAAGACAATGTGCTGACAATGTTTCTTCTGTGCACATACATTTAAGAATATTTCATTGCATGCTTAAGGAAGCAAATAGGGAAAACAACCAGATGAAACTTACTGCTACACAAGTTAAAGCTGTCAGAACACCTGAGAAAAACCCTCCTCGAGGATTAATTCTTCCTGTGTTTGAAATGGTAGGCGTCTGGTCATTCCCATGCTTTTGGAAAGTTGCTAAGCTG